TCCTTGGGCGGCACCCCGGAACGCTTCACCGCATTGATGATGCCTCCCAAGATCACCGCACCCGTTCCCTGGATGTCGTCATTGAAGCAGGTGTACTTGTGTCGGTAGCGCTCCAGAGCGGGGAAGGGGTTCTTGAAGTCCTCGAATTGAATGACAATCCTGTAGTCACCCGAATTAGCCCCAGTACAGCCCTTGCGGAGCAAAGACTACTCACCCAGGCCATCGTTCCGTCAGGGCATCCATCAGCTCGTCCATGAACTCCTGCTCCTCCTCGGGAGACACCTTATCCCGGCGACTGCCCATATAGAGGGGATCTTCCCGGAACGCCTTGTTGCTGGTGCCCAGGTCCAGCGTCAGAGGCAGAGTCGCCTCTGGCCGGATTCCGGCGCAGGCCGTGTACAGAGCCAGCTTGCCAATGGGAATGCCCATGCCGTTGATCCCCAGATCACCCAGACCCAGGATTCGCGATCCGTCCGTGATGACAGTAATCTCGACGTTGGGCTGCGGCCAGTTGGCAATCACGGCTGCGATGTTGCCTTTGTCTTCGTAACTGAGATACATGCCTGAAATCGTCAGCGACAAATCATTGGAATTGACTGGTAAGACCAAAAAAAAAAGATACCTTCTGGCTGTTGGTAGATCTCTGACCATCGCTGGCAAGCTTCACCCACGACGGGGGTGTAGATCAAGGGGGTCAATTCCTGCGCATGTCAGTATTCGACTGCCACGAACACGAAATAAGAACGATCGCCCACCTACCTTGAGATGGTCGACCACCAAGCGGTAGAAGAGGTGCACATTGTTCTTGCGGAGGGTGCTCAGGTAGAGGTATTTCTCAATGGGCGTCGATTTCAGGGCCAATTGCGCGAGGCCTATCCAACCATCAGCCGTTATCCCTCGTTTGGACATCTGGTCTACCCACATCTTGTCTTCTGGACCTCGTAGCTCTCAGCGCGGGGCGGAGTCAGACCGTACGTTCGCAGGTATTTGCGGATATAGGGCGGGTTGGCGGTATCGAAATTGGCCTCCCTGGCAGAACAACTGTGGTTAGAGTCATGGTCGCCAACGAGTCGCGACGACCGGATGAGCACTTACAGGTGGTTCGCAAAGCTTGGAGGGGGCAGGGTGTGGGCAGGCCGCAGCTGATTGCTGGGGTTGTTGGAGGGCAGGGAGCCGGTCATGTTGGGGGCAGACGACGAAGCTTTCGGAGCTGGAGTCACGGACGAAGTAAAAACAGAAGCTTTTCCACCGCGGACAGAACTCACGAGTGACGGGCACACGCGGTTATGTATCCGACGACGAAACATGACCAAGGCGAGAGAGAGCGCAGAAAAACCCCTGACGCGAGAGCCAGACAGCCGCCCATGAACTTCCCCGTAGTAGTGTAGGATCTCCAGCCCGTGATGCTCCAGGCTCCTCACGAACAGGCAGCGTGATTATTGGGTCCCGAGTCGGGAAGAGTCGGGGTCAAAAAGGACCCGTCGCCTTTGGATGGATGGGGCCTTCGTCTCCAGGGGGCAGAACGGCCATGACGACGAGATCAGACGCCCGCTGCAGATGCCAAAAAAGGTGCGCGTGGTGGGACAGGCGAGCAATCAGCTGTGGAATCCGCAGCGCAGCAAGCCACGCCGACGCCCATGCCCGGGAGTTCGGGACGCTAAGAGTCAGCGTCCCTGTGGCAGCATGGCCGAGTCGGGATGCGAAGCTCTCCTGCGACTCTGCCATAGCCCACCCTTTGCTCACACTTCACAGTGGAGCTTCGAGAAAGCCATTGCCGTCTTCCGTGACGGAGCAAACGAAGAGACGCTGAAATGCGGAGAAGCGCCCTTGCCCGAACGGGACTGGCCCAGGGCGTGCTGTGGCGGCGTCCATTGCGGCCTCTTGCAGCATTTATGAGCCGGATGGGGCTGCTGGCGGGCGTCGGGGCCAGAGAGAGGACAGTACGATGCTAATAATTAATAATACGAATTCCACGATGCTCTCTAGTCGGCAGGGAGAAGTGGCATCAGTTGTGACAGGGCTCAGACTTATCGGCCGAGCAGTGTCGCGCGACCTGCGGCAGGCTAGCAGTCAATGCAACGAGATGAGTCAAGGAATTCCATGATTCGTGACTGGGGCACGACCCGCGTGGTTTTCGGAAACACAGGTGGAGATGCTGTCCGGAGCACGGTAGCCGGTTGAAGGTTCTCCTGGATAAATCCTTGTCGGCTGATTGCACTTAGACTATTGTCACTGTCAGAGACTCGTCTGGGCGCTGAGTTGTGCAGGGTACGAAGTTCTCCGTATGAAGTCTCCTTTCCACGTTCTCCTGTGCCAACAGCTCAATGTGCGTCGCGTCCAGCATCTACTCTGTACTGTACAGTACATCGTTCTGCTCAATTCTAGACCAGCGGCAGGCTTCCGACGGGCCAAACTCCGACTTGGACAGTTTCTCTGGAGATGGCCCCGGAGCCGCACGGGCTCCATCCGAGCCTTCGTCCCGGTTGGCGGCCGGCGCCGAGACGCGATCGGAGTTTCTGCGCGGCGCCAATTTTATCCGCAGGCTGGAATCAATATTATTCGAATTTCCCCGGATGCTGCCCGAGAGCTGCCTGAACGAGTATCGAGCTTGAGGCACGGCTGCTGGGGACGGCAATAAATAATACAACAATACTTCACGAAGACTGGAGAATGCCATGGAAAAAAAATAGAAATAAAAAGTGTTACTAGAACAGACATTACTAGCAGGTATAAGATGCGCTCTACATTATATTATTAACTTTTTTTTTTGAATGTAGGTATATGGACTGTTATTAATATAGTGGCACCAGATACTAGACTAATACATCTGCCGTAAATTAGTATCTATCGATAATCCTTAAGAATTGAGATTCCTGAAAGAAATGGAAGAGATATTGTCCATAAGCAGGCGGACTAAGCAGGCAGAATGCCAGCCAATAGGAGAGTGTCAGGAATTAGGTTAGCGTTGTGGAGGATGATCCTCCGATGCCTCGACGAGAAGTGCACGAATAGTTACAATCTCTGCTAAAAGTAAGACTACCGATACTAAAAACTAATGGCATGTTATGGTGTGATATCGTCCTAACCATCGACATGAACTGCGTAAGATATCCTCCCGATATCATAATCTCTCCACAGAAGCTATCCCGGAGTGTCGCTCCATCGACCTATTAGGATTGTACTGTAGAATCATATACTCGTACACTTAAGATCTATCAAGTAACTTGTAACGAATATCTGCTACGTCTCAAGCCATAGTGACTTGTAGTAAATGGTGTGCTGAGATATTGACCCCTTGCTGGGATGCAGTCAGTGTGGTTGGTCAGGTGTCGGCGGGCGCCAGTCAACAACGTCATGCCAGCCTCACTGGCCATCACGTCTCTGCACCACCTCATCAACCACCCTATCTACCGAGTACTCTGTGCAGTATTCTGTGAGGGCTATCCTCTTCCTACTCCTGCGGGGGTTCAGTGAGCAGTAACTGTTATCCCTCGATTGACCCCTCTTCGACTGCTTCCACTCTCCCGATCCAGATTCGCGATATATAGATAGATTCCCCTCACACGTGCTCCATGGCATCCTGCTGCGGCCGTCGAAAGGCCCGACGCGGGGCCGACTCGGAGCCGCTGCTGCCCCGCTACGAAGATGAAACGGCTCGCCAGCGTCAATTGCACCAGAAGCTGCACTCGTATCAGGTCTTCCGCGCCCTCTCGGAGGGATATTTGCCGTCGACGGAGCAGGCCATCGCCAACCTCCGCACGTTGCTGGCGTCCGATGTGCTCAATCCCCGCAGCGAGGATCTCAGCGAGTCCGGGCGCCTGCTCTCCCGGGACGTGAAGCTCTGGCTGCGCTGCGTCATCGAACTGCTCCAGGAGAAGAACAGTCAGGATCAATTGCAGGAGTTCCTGTGGCATCTCTTCCGATCCAGAGCCTCGTTGGATACATCCGAGCTGGTCAATCAGGCTTCCTACGCTAAGGCGAAGGCGGACACCAAGGCCGGTGAGCGACTAGCTAAGCCCTACGGTTCTACCCCAACATTGAGCTCCACCTCCCCAGACAGTAGACTAACTCAATTTCACCACCGTAGCCTACGACAGTCTTCGCACCGTTGGGGATCTCCTCCTCACCAACGCCGATTTTCGCCTATTCCTCGATGATCTCGCCACGGTCGGTCGCCAGATCTTTGCCGACACGGCCTTTGCTCTGTCGGAGGCCGCCCAGCAGGTGGGTGAGACGGTGGGGCCATCCCAAGAAGAGCTAGACAAGGTCCAAGGAGCGGGCGCGGACGAGGGGCAATGCCCTACGGAGGATGATCTCCGTCAAAAAGCTACCGACATTCCTGCCGCCGCGGAACAAGGCATCTCCCAGGCAGGCCATCAGGCCGTGAGGAGCGCATGGAGAAACCTCTCCGGGGATCAGAGAGATGCTCTGCTTTACCGGTTGAAGCAGACCATTTTGAACCTTCGCACGCGGACCGACTATTCAGACGCAGTCTCGACGCTCTCGCGTCTCGTCCAGCGCTATGGAAAACTGTACGCCAATGCGGCCGAAAACACGCTCAGTGCGGTGAATGAGGATGTCGACGTCAATGCGGACCTCCGCGAAGCCGTGGACCGCTTCTGGGCACTGGTGCGATCGTTTGGAAACCCCAAGGAGTGGGAGCTGCTGGAGGAGAGATTTCATGGCGTGATGAGTCATGCCCACAAGGACCCGGAGTTCGAGCGACTGGTGTCGGAGATTGGGGCCTCCCTCCAGGAGATGTTGACGGATCCGAGCTTCTTTGACTCGGCCTCGGAGCGTCTGGACGAGCTGAAAGATAAGTCGAAAGCGCTCGGGTCTGAAACCGCTCTGCGTCACGACGTCGATGCCTTTCTGCAGCAGATCCGACGAACATTGAAAACCATACCCGACGACCCAGCGGTGGCCAAGGTGGTTGCGGCGTCGAAGAAGATCTACGACGATTTGTGGGGCGCCTACAACAACAAGACGAGCAGCCTCGTCGCCGACGTGGCCCATGTCTTCCTCCCGCTGCTGATTCGTAGCATCCAGCACATCCCCATTCCGCGGCTGGAAATCTCCGTGCCGGAGATGGACCTGTTGGTGGAGAATCTGGTGCTCGAGCCCGGGCGGACTGTTCACAGCTCGTCGTTTTTCCCGTACAAGATCCGGGTCACTTCGCGCACCGACATGGAGCTAGCCAAGGTGCATTCGAAAAGGGCAAAGACGGACCTGAAGACGATCGTGACTGTATCCGTCTCGGGACTGAACATCAGCGCGTCCGAGTTCGGCTACTGGCTCCGCGCACATAGCGGTCCTCTCTTCCGCTTCAAGGACGAAGGCATCGCGAGCTTCTACCTCGACCAACGCGGTATCGACATCTCGGTGGATCTCGAGATCGGACGGGAGCGCCTCGCGTCGCTGATCGTACTTCGCGGGGTCCGAGTGCACATCCACAAACTGGAGTACCAAGTCCAGCGCAGCAAGTGGAAGTTTCTCCTCTGGATCGTCAAGCCGTTCCTCAAACAGCTCGTGCGCCGGGTGTTGGAGAAGAAGATTGCCGAGCAAGTCGTCGTCGCGCTGACGACGCTCAACCGCGAGCTCGTCTTTGCCAGGGAGCGGCTGCGGGCCGTCCGAATCGCCAACCCGCAGGATCTGTCGACGTTTATTCGGGCCGTGCTGGCACGGCCGAAATCGTGGCCCGATCCGAATGTCTACAAACGGATGGGATTTAGTCCGCCGGACCGCGGCATCTTTAAAGGGATCTATGCGCCGGGCAGCATCGTGAAGGTGTGGAAGGAGGAGGCGAGACGGGCACAGGAAGCCATTGAACGGGGGGATGAGAGTGGTGGTCTCCATCTGACGTGGCGGAATGAAGTTTTTGATGTGACGGCGACGAGATGCTAGCCACGAGATAGCTCTATGTCAGATGTCTATGTCAGATGTGTCTTATGTATCCTGTTTACGACCCTCCTTACGGGTAACCTTTACGTTCTTTGTTTTTCTTTCCCTCGTTTCTGTTTACGTATACGTATATTGTCATGACATGAACGACATGAATGACATTATTAATGTAGAATTGAGTGAGTGAATTATAGAAATCAATAATAGGACGTACAATGCATAAGTACTGTACCTTTGCAAATATCTTGTTTCTCGATGTCTAGACTGGCCGCAGAGCATCATATCACGTGACTTAGCGGATCAACATTCTTCCTTTGGCGGCGCGGCTGCTCCATTGCATTGCGGCCACCTAAGCTAATCGCAGCGCTCCGCGATAAGTATAGGCCTGAACTGAACAGGTCTTCCTTCAATTGACGCTTTAGTTTCTTCAGGACGAGTGTTACGTAATACTTCTATTAATGTTTTTTTGTTGACTGGTCAGTCTCCTTGAAGGTCATTAACTAGGGACGCCCCTTTCTTTTTCTTTGTGCTTAAGTATCGGCAAATGAGATAACTGTTCGTCCATGTCGATGTCGATCTGAAACTGAAACAAACCTCTTCCGCTTTGCTTGAAGCGAAAAAAGAAATAGAGTACACCAGCGAAAGAAGCTTTCTCTCTCCTTCCGGAGAGGCAGGCACACCATGCTTCTCTCACGCATCTTCGCCGCGCTGTCCTTCTTACTGCTGCTCCTGCCGCTGTCGCTATGCGCCGAGGACTACTACAAGATCCTGGGGCTGGACAAGTCCGCCTCGGAGCGGGACATTAAGCGGGCGTATCGGAAGTTAAGCAAGAAGTATCATCCGGATAAGAATCCGTAAGCTCCACCTTTGGTATACTTTTTTATTTATTTATTGTGTTTGGGCTTGGCTTGTCTGACGGTGGTTGTTTACAGTGGCGACGAAACTGCTCAGAAGAAATTCGTCGATATCGCCGAAGCTTACGAAGTCCTGTCTTCCCCCAGCACGCGCAAGATCTACGATCAATACGGTCATGAAGGGTTGCAGCAGCACAAGCAGGGCGGTGGCGGCGGTGGTCACGCCGCCCATGACCCGTTCGACCTCTTCTCGCGCTTCTTTGGCGGCGGAGGGCATTTCGGGCATGCCGGGGGTCACCGTAAGGGCCCGGACATGGAGGTGCGGCTCCAGCTGCCGTTGCGAGACTTTTACACGGGGCGGGAGGTCGAGTTCCAGGTGGAGAAGCAGCAGATCTGCGAGTCCTGCGAAGGGTCCGGGGCGGCGGACGGTAAGGTGGATGTCTGCGACAGATGCGGCGGCCATGGAAGGGTGGTCCAGAAGCACATGCTGGCCCCGGGCATGTTCCAGCAGGTGCAGATGACGTGCGATAAATGCGGGGGCAAGGGCAAGACGATCAAGAAGCCGTGTCCGATCTGCCACGGGCAGCGCGTGGTGCGCAAGCCGGTGCCCATGACGGCCACAGTCGAGCCGGGCATGGGCAAAGGCACGCGGATCGTGTTCGAGAACGAAGCGGACGAGAGCCCGGACTGGGTGGCGGGCGATCTGATCGTGATCCTGGCGGAGGAAGAGCCGAAGCTGGGGAAGAACGAGCGGGAGCGCACGGACGGGACGTTCTTCCGGCGAAAGGGCAAGGATCTGTTCTGGAAGGAGGTGCTGTCGCTGCGAGAGGCGTGGATGGGCGACTGGACGCGCAACCTGACGCACCTGGACGGCCACATCGTGCAGCTGGGGCGGAAGAGAGGCGAAGTGGTACAGCCGCTGACGGTGGAGACGATCCGGGGCGAGGGCATGCCCATCTACCACGAGGGGCACATGCACGAGCGGCACGGCAGCGAGGAGGAGTACGGGAATCTGTATGTGGAATATACAGTGGTGCTGCCGGACCAGATGGAGAGCGGGATGGAGAAGGATTTCTGGGCGCTGTGGGAGAAGTGGCGCAAGAAGAAGGGGGTGGATTTGCTGAAGGACAGCGGGCGGCCAGTTAGGGATGAACTATAATTATAGATTACTTTCTGTGGTTATTATATGTATTTATGTGTTTTATGTTATAATAGATTGTTATGATAGAAGAGTTCTCAGTCGAGAATAATGTAGGTATTTTTCCAAGATGTTTAGAGGGTAATGATAATAGGTCAGGATTGATTAGTTACGTACAGTAGTTACCTGTTGGCTTGCCTCGTTTATTCATTCAGCTAGTTCTAAGACTGTGCCTACCTATGTAGGTATGATCTAGGAGGCAGTTATCTAGGTAGTAAGATTAGCTACCTAGGTATTCAGTTTAATAGTTTTTTTTTTGAGTACATCCTCAATTTCCAGCCCTCCCAGCAAATCAAACCAAATCAAAAACCAAAAAATAAAAAAACAATGATTAAGGCCACCCGCAGCTCACAAAGCTTAGTTCTACCCAAGACGACGCAAGGGGGTGCGCTACTTACCTATTCAGGCTATTCAGCTTTTCCAAAGTTTAGGTAGCTTGTTCAGCTGTGATGTCATAAGCTTTGTGATAAGAACTGCTAGTTACACAGGTTGCACAGGATCAACGTCGACACTTTACCGGAAGGAGAGATTTAATGCGATTAGGTGTGTCTGGGTACTTACCCTGGTAGGTAAGTATAGTAATTAAAGTGGCTATATGTAGGTAGGACTCTATCTCGAAAGATCTCGAGGGGTGTGAACTTGAGCTTACTGTTGGTTCAACTTGGTTGGATTGGATTGGATTGGATTGGATTACTGGCGTTATCGTTGAATTGTTACCTAGATACTATTTATTATTGGATTTTGTTGGCCTTGGATTGCTCAGCTAGCTCTGCTCAGCTGGTGATTAACTAGCTAAGCTACCTAGGTAGGCTCTAGGGTAGTATTTATTGTCTAAGATTCCTTGTCACAATACAATACAGTTCTTCTGCCTAGACTAAACTCTACAGATAACGCTGGACTGGCCCAGTACTGTGTGTATATGTATATGTATCTCGTGATTGAGGATATAATATAACTCAGGTTTCAACAACATCCTACAAAATCCAATAAATCTACCTGCTGAAAATTCAGCAGAACTACACCTAAACTACATCTACATCTACTTTACTTCTACTCACCATGTCAACCCAAAAAGCCATCGTCGTAATCCGCAAAGGCCACGCAGAACTCGTCTCACGGCCCCTGCCCCAACTCCGCGACGGCTTCATCCTCGTCAAAACCGTCGCCGTCGCGCTCAACCCCACCGACTGGAAACACATCCACTACTTCGACAACCTGCACGACGTGCTCGTCGGGTCCGACTACGCGGGGATCGTGGAAGCCGTCGGGAAAGGCGTGACCAAGAATCTTCGAAAGGGCGACAGGGTCTTCGGCCCCATGCGTGGCTGCGACGTGACGCAGAAGGAGAACGGCGCTTTTGCGGAGTATATCGTTGCGAAGGGGGACCTGGCGAATAAGATACCTGATAATCTGAGTTTTGAGGATGCGGCGACTCTTGGTATGGGCTTGATTACCGTCGCCCAGGGAATGTATCAGGCGCTGGGACTGGCGAGGCCGGAGAGGCCGATCACGCAGTCGGAGCCGGTTTTGATTTATGGTGGCTCGACGGCGACGGGATCGTTGGGCATTCAGTTTGCGAAGCTGTAAGATGCGACCAGCAGTCCTGAATTGTCCATGTACTGTACAGACAAGGCTGACCACAGTCGATTTGTAGATCCGGCTACACCCCCATCACAGTCTGCTCACCACAAAACTTCGACTTTGTGCGCTCGCGCGGCGCCGTCGCGGCCTTTGACTACCACGACCCAGACTGCGGGCGCAAGATCCGCGAGTACACGCACGACCGGCTACAGCTAGTCTGGGACACGGTGAGCCTGCCAAGCAGCGCAGCGATCTGCGCCGAGGCACTGTCCTCATCCGGCGGGGGCAAATACTACACTTTACTCCCGGAGAAGAGCCCTAGGCGAGACGTCGAGTCGCGCATGACTGTGGCGTACTTCATGTTCGGCGAGCCGCTGCTGTGGAATCCGGCCGTGGGCGTGGAGCAGGCGTCGCAGGAGGATTTCCGGTATGCGGCGGAGTTTCTGGATATGGCGACGAGGCTGGTTGCGGAGGGGAAGGTCAAGCCTCATCCGGCGCAGGTGCATGAGGGAGGATTGGGAGGGGTGCTGGAGGGGTTGCAGTTGATGAGGATGGGAAGGGTGTCGAGGGCGAAGTTGGTATACAAAGTGAGTGAATAGACGAGCGAGTCGTTAGACGAGCGAGATGTTAGTCTTGTAAGTTGATATTAGCAGTCAGTAGAATAGTACATACATACATACATGTAAATATCCATTAAATATCCATATGTGGTAATGCATGTAGCTGCTACGAAGTATTTTTATCCAGAAGGCCGACTTGCAGAGTAAAGAAATGACAAAAGCAAGTCCCTGTCATTTTTTTTCCTATGTACTGTACATACACAGCGCAATAGTCAATAAAAAAACAACAATAAATTGTGCCTAGTATGTAGTATATATAACAGTTGCTGATAGTCAATAAAAAAATAATAATAAAAAAGAAACCAACAACAAATTATATGTAGCACGTACCTAGTAAGTTGCTGAAGCAATACAATTGATACCAGGCTATCATCATCCAATAGGATCATCAATAACATCCAGCACACCGCCTTCCACATGTATGTATATATCAACGGCAGAACAGCCCTACCCGCTAGTCTTTTTTCTCACCGCCTTGAAAATCGATCCATCACTGCCAAGATTGCTATCGCAGTATCCGTATCACGTCGACAGAAATTTATTAATACAACGATATTAAACTGCTCTCGCCGTGGAGTAGTCTGGTTCTTTTTCTTCTTTTATTGAAGCGCTTTCGATTATTTATTTCTCTGACATATTCCAAGAAAAGAGAATTTTGATATAAAGAAAGGAAGGAAGGAAGAAGGAAAGGAAGAAGACAAGACAAGATGGTTCGCAAACTGAAGCATCACGAGAAAAAGTTCGTCGTCGTCGTCGTCGTCGTCGTGCAAAACTGCCATCCCAGCTAATCAATTACATACTACATTCACTTTGATTGTCCACAACTAACACTGTGTTGTGATACAATACAGACTCCTCAAAAAAGTCGACCTCTACACCTACAAATCCGACGGCGGACACCGCGAGCAAGCCATACGCAACCGGTACCTCCTGCAAGACCCTCTCGACTACAAAAAATACAACGTTCTATGCGGCTCCTTACGACAACTGGCGCACAAGCTCTCGCAGCTAGATCCAGACGGGGACCCTTTCCGGAAACAGATCGAGAGCGAGGTCCTGGAGAAGTTGTGGTCGATGGGGATCTTGAAGCAGAACCGTGAACAGGGGGCGGGGTTGTCGCGTGTAGAGCACGATGTTACTGTTTCGGCGTTTTGTCGGAGACGGTTGGGTGTTGTTATGGCTAGGAATGGGATGGTGGAGAATGTTAAGACTGTATCGTTCCCCCCCCCCCCCCCCCCTTTCCCCCTCCCCCTGAGGAGGTAGGTCTGTGTGTGTGTGTTGTGCTTACTGAGGTTTTTAGGCCGTCACACTCATCGAACAAGGCCACGTCCGCGTTGGGACAGAGGTCGTCACTGACCCTGCCTTCCTGGTCACGCGCAGTATGGAGGACTACATCACGTGGGTCGACTCGAGCAAGATCAAGCGCACTATCATGCAGTACCGGGACAAGATGGATGATTATGATTTGATGAATTGAGTGGACAGCTCTTTCGTGTCAATTATGTTGTACGGTGTGGTTGTGTTGTGGATGCTAGGGCAGGGAGGATTGTCTCCTTGTCTATCTATCTTCTTGTCTATCCTGTCAACTTGCATGGTGATGGCGTTTGGGTCTGTTTCTGTTCTGGTCTGGATTTTTGTTTCCTGTAGGTTAGGCAGATATGCAGATAAAAGTGCGCACTGCTGTTCTGGGTTATTATTTAAAAGACTATACTCCAGAAATTGATATGTACAGTACTTAACACGTCATATTATGAACTGAATTGATTACTTGGATTTACTTATATCCATCCTCGTAGATTCGTAAGAAATAAAATAACGATTATGTTTATTATGCTGTATGTATGTACATACTCTCTCAATGCTAATGTCGATGCTAATATCAATGCTAATTTCAATGTTAATGCAACCTTAACTCCGACAGCGATCGATGTATGCAAGCAACCAGCAACCAGGGTATCATTCTAATGCTGATGCAGTCAAGCAGAAGCTCATGCAGTCCCTCCCTGTAAATGCACTCATTAAACTGATAAAAAAAAAGGAAAGGAAAAGGAAAAGAGGAAAGAAGGAAAGAAAGTATGCTCGTGCAAGCCGTGTGTAAGCTGTGTAAGCCGTGCAAGTCATGCAACCCTTCTAGGGAGTCGTCATCGTCGGATCGTAAAGCTCGTGGAGATCAAGTGAGAGATGTCGTACTTCGGCTCACGCAAAACAAGACCATTTATCGCTCTTTCGACTAGAAAAAGACACCTCGGTTGCGCGCTCCTCCTTCTCGTCCGGAATATCCATTCTAAATCGTCGAACGCTCCCCTCGTAGTTGGCTTTGCCATCCTTTTCCTCAAAAAAAGGCGTCCGCCCCCCCGATTGGAGACATTTCGGTGCCAACCGTCGCCAGATGCGCCGGATCCCCCGGTTCGACCGGTCGATCTTCTCGTACTCGCGGCGTCGCGTGGACGGCGACGTCCAGTCGATCACGGTCGCCGGCACAGGGACGTATGGCCGTTCCGGTTCTGACTGGGCCATGCTCGTCCTTCTCGCCAGTAACTCGTCGTCGGAGACGTCCCCGTCCTGGTCGTGTGCCGAGAATGGAGGCGACCGCTGATATCGGACAGGAAACATCGTCGGAGAGGTCTGCGTGCCGGGAGCCGGGGCCGTAGAGGAGCGGACGGGTTCCGCACATTGCAGATCTGTATCGCCGCGCAGTCCGTTTTCCTGGAAGAAACGGCAGCAGTTACGATGCAGCGCGATGAGGTCGTTTTGCCTCTTCTGCGACATGGACGGGGTCCTGGCATGTTGCGAGCTGCGGCGAGGAGTTCTAGTAGATCGTCCCGTCGTGCTCGAGGACGCCGAACGAGGGGCCCGCTGCGACGTCGAAGACGCACGAGACCGGGATTTCTTTGGTTTGGATGCAGGACTCTGCTTGACAGTCGTCACGTCAGAGTCATGGCGACTCTCCATGCCATCTCGCTTGGCGGTAGTCGGTCGTGCATTCGAGGTCTGATCTCTTGCTTCTTCCATGGCCAAACTGGTTGCGTCGATGGCGCTGTAGAAAGTCTTGGTGTCGGAGACGGTCGTCACGCAAGGAGTCAGCGACGCCGCGGTGGTGTCATCGACAACGCTCTTGGGCGATGACAGCACATCCGAGTCAGAGCATGGCGTGGGTGAGGAGGAGTCAGTCTGAAAAGAATGGAGGTGCATGTGCTGGGGGGATGTAAGGTGCTGACGATCGAAGCTCTCGGTGCATGTGAAAGCAGCGCGCGACATGGATGGGCGGCGGGCGCGCCTGGCGAATGGCAGTGAAGCGACAGGCCTAGAGAACGGGCGATCTGCACATGTCAAACCTCACGATTCGCACATGGAAGCAGGGGTGCCAGCTGGCCGCGAGGCCTCGTCTGACTTGTCTGGGCGGAGGATATCTGCCAAGAGAATGACCCCGCGTGATGAGCGCACGACCAGACTCAAGTCTCTGTGGCTGCTTGGCAGTGACCAGAGAGAATCTCTGACGTTGATGCCAAAAATTCTGATATTAATGATGATGTTGTTGATTCAAGGGAGCGCCACCAGGGCCACGATAAGATTAGGGCTGGAGCGTCAAGCCAGGGATAACGATGAGACAGACGATATCAATAGAGGTTTCGCTAAGAAGGATGATCCAGGCAATAATAGAGTTGCTAAGAGAGGACTTGTCTCACCACCTCCGGAATTTTCTCGTCGCAGCCGGAACGAGACGATCAACGCCTCGACAAAGGACGTATATCAATGGAAAACAGACCCTCGGTGGCAAGACCGTGGCGGTGCGGGTGCCGACGATAGAGACAGGAATAACAATGGCACAGAAGGCAGCAACAATTCCCATCCTCCCTCAGGGACCTAGACCTATATACTGGCCGTATACAGGGACAGCCGCCCGCAGTTCCATGGTTAGCGACGCCCACCGACTCAGCGGGCCGCCCAAAGGCGACCCAAGCAGTGGGCAGGCCCCGCATGGACAGTCCATTGACTCCATTCACCGGACGCCTTCGATCACCGCTCCTTGCAAGGCGGATGTGCCGTTTAGCGCCGGTTCCTGGCAGTCACGCACCAATCTGCGCTCACCGCAAGCGCATGAGTTCGCGTTCCAAACGGATCGAGGCGATCGACTGGCTGCGGTGGGCGGCTGTCGCAATCCGCAAAGCCACGCAGCCCCGCCTGCTGTGGCGAGTGGGCCTGTCACAGCCTCAGGTCGAACTCGACAGAACTTCCATAGGTATGTACACTATACAGTTCTCCGTTAAAGTCCAAAGCCTTGACCCGACGCAACTGCCGTGCTACAGTCATGTGGCCTGAGTCTGACAATGCAGGATGGCAGTTGGACGCGACAAGAGCGCTGCCCAACAAACCAATAACCCCAGCACAGACAGACCCATCCAGCATGGACTATGGACTATCGACTATCGAGTCTGCTCACCGCCGTCGAGCTGCCACGACAGCACGGGCGTCAACAAGGCGGTGTGGCAGCCAGCCAATCCAGAATATAGGATATCCACGGAGTAGAGACTATTACTCCGACCGACTTCGGGCTTCTGGAAGCAGCAGAAGCAGGGGTGAAACCACTAGTTCTTTGTTCTCCTCATTCGAATTCTTTTGTGGGCAGTCTACGGAGTACTCCCAAATCATGAACTATATACTCCGTACTCCGTAGTTTTTCAGTAGTGTCGAAAATCAGAACCCAATCCGGGCACATGATCTTCCCATCTTCCGAATCGAATTTCTCGCGCGGAATAATATCCGATCTTTAAAAAAATGAAGTAAAAGAAAAATGCTAAGAAAAAAAAAAGTTTCTTTCATTACTATTATCAAATGTCAATTCCTGATTGCTCGCTACTTAACCTAGGTATATACATACATAACCTAAAATTGGTTTTGGTTCGAACACCTCGTATTCCGTTCAAACTCATTCCACATCACGGCGAATATACTCGGCGCTAATTTTACCATACTATTATGGAGGGTGTCCTCCGTACTGAGTGAGTGAACTGCGGGGATAAATTAACGGAGTAATAATAAAAATATGATCTGTACGATAAACCCCGCAGACCGTTATTAGTTATTGCAGTAGCGTGGCTGACTCTGTACTTCGTATTTTCCTTTCTTTTTTTTTGGCTTTTGACACTAATTAGGTCTCGCATTATTGGTGACCGTTTCTCTCTCACACGCTCTTTGAGCTGTTTAAGATTTGATTGATTGGATTCGGGCATTCGTAGGTAGAACCTGGAACTACTTTTTATTTCCCAAACGGGAATGCAGGTGAACACCTGACCTGACCTGATCCCGCTTGACAGAATAGACATTATTATTAGACAAGGTAAGGAGATAATATCAAAAGAAAACAAAAGGAAAACACAACAAAAAAAATAGAACAAAAAGAGGAGAACAAGAAAGAAAGAAAAAAGACATAAAGAGAAAAAAAAAGGAAAATAGAAGAATCCTCTACAAAGAAATTGCAAGGAAATAAAAATGAAATGAAAATAAAAAAAATGAATAAAGAGAAATAAAGCTCACACCTCTGACCTCCTACTTCTTTCTTTGAGTGGCTGGCAAGACAAGAATGCAGGGTTAGGGATTTTAGGTGCATGGTGTGAGATCCAAGGGATCCTCGATGGGAAGCCGTGGAAAAGAGGTTCAATTCTGTCTACCTAATTCTGGAGAAGACGTCCTCCTCTACTCCGTAGGTAACTACCTTATGGAAACTAGGTACCTACCTAAAAGATATTAACGTCACATGATACTGGCACATGATAACTTGACATCAACTGATATGGAATAATTCTTATGTAGGTGAAAATCATCTAAGATTTATCTGATAGGTATTAATTGAACATATTTGAGACTTATCTAAAGTCCCTGTATGTTGAATAAAAAACAAACAAACAAACAAACAAACAAACAACAGTGAATGATTTCCTGGAACCTCGTTACCTAATTTGTGAACGAAGTCCTTCTTTTCTCTGCCACCTCTGACATCTTGCATTCACTGACTGCAACTTTCCTTTCTTCTATCTAACTAACTTGCCACTCTCACTTGTTCTCTTGCAATGATACTATTGTTCTATCCCACACAATGTCTGGCTCAGTAAATTTTATTCTTCATTTTATTTTATTTATTTTATTTTATTTTTTATTTTTTTTTTCGCTGATTGGGATAGCCTTTCGGAACTTCCAAGGAGCCTATGCATCTTCATCTAAAGAGCCAGACTTCTGTATCTGTCCAGACACGGCAGATCTCCCACAAGTTGTTGTGGAGAGCGGCTGGTGCGAGGCGTGGGATCGTTTGCACAAGGATATGGAGCTGTGGCTTAAGGGTGGTGGTGCGAACACTACTGTCCAACTGGTCATCATACTCAAATGGTCCAAAGAAGGATCAGGGGATGGACGGGTCAGAGGAGCAGCTGAGGTGTTTGATCGAGACCCTGCCGGTAGTAACCCGAGGTTGCTCCAAACCGAGGTATATTAATATATTGTGCAATTTGCTTTTGTTCTAATTACCATATTCAAAGTTAACAAGAATGTATGTACATAGGACATCTTTCCAGTCCCTCCTCCTGCTGGAACACCCCAAAGAATTTCCATTAGTCGCGGTCAACTCTTTGGAGCGCACATTTTTCAGGGTAGAAATCCCAACGATGTCTTCTACCTTGACATACAAGACCTACGCCCATTGGCTACCGAACGGATTCAGTGGATGGGTCTAATTCCTGCGTAGCCAGCGCTATATAACTAAAGTCTAGGTACTGAATGTGCTTTCCGACCCAGCAATGAATCTGCAGACCCAGCCAGCTTTCGCTCAGATCCAGTTCAGTCCTCACAAGGTGTACACAAATTCAGGATTCTCCCCATCGGTCAAGTCAAGCCACCTACTATAGTCAGCCTCCATCTATCATATTGATTCACGTCGATTACTCACTCCTGGTTCTCCAGTTTCACATACTCCGGACTCGCCCGGATCTTGGCCTTCTTCTCGTTCTGCCGTCTGTACCACCACCAGATAAATAACAGGTCCAGCAGACACACCCCGTACACGACCACAATGACTATTTCAGCCGGTACGTATCGCGGTGCGTCCTTGGGTCGGAACGTTTGAGGGCCTGTTTATGTCAGTTCAAGTAAGTGAAAAAAAAAACGCTGCCCGCATACCAATGATGTTGCCCACGCAATATGCAATCAGATACAGCGCTGCCACTGTCGTCTTCTTCGTGTAGCCAGCCACATTCGACGAGATGAGCGACAGCAGCGCCACAAACGGACACGGGCTCGCTTGCGTCATGTAGTACCCAATCAACCGACCGACACTGTTCGACAGCGGCAGGGCGATGATCAGGATCATTCCCACGATAGATGAAATGAGACCACCCGTGCTGCACAGGATCCGCTGTCCAAAGTAGTCGCCCACAAAGCCGTTGATGATCAGCGCAATCACTTCCACCGCTCCACCGGGAGTGCCGTAGAGGAGACTCTGCTCAGAAGTGAACCCGAAGCTCACAATCTAAATCGAATTAGCAATAGCGAAAAGAAAAAAAAATGCTTGTAATTTCTTACCAACTGGCTAAAGAAGTTGGTGATGCCTCCATTGGGAATATCGGCCAACAGCGCATACAGGACGAATGCCCATGTCATCGGGTCCAGCAGCGCCTCCTTAAACTGATACATCTTGAAATGCTTGTTCCCAATCCCCTGCTGGTTGACGCGAACACGCTCGACGGCCAACACGCGATCCTCCTTCGTGAGCCACCGCGCATTCAGCTGGTTGTCGGGAATGAGGTAAAGGAAGGTCACACCCAGAGCAATTGTCAGCAAGCCCGTTACCAGGAAGACGATCTTCCAGGGCTCGATGGCAGACCCGTGTTCCCGTGTTCCCACCGCGATCCCATACGCCACTAGCCCGCCAAAGATCTGGCCCATTCCGTTGAAACTGAACCATATATTCGTCCGCTGTCCCTGCTCAGTCTTGGTGTACCACTATAAGGTCCACAACAGTCAGCTTATCGATATGAACTGGACACTCAGGAGAAAAGGTCGGCCTACCTGAGAGGTCAAGAGAGCAAAACCAGGCGTCACCGCAGCCTCAAACACTCCAAGAAGGAAGCGGATGGCGACGGCCCCGCTGAAATTGGTCACCGCGGCAAAACACGAGAGGATCAGTCCCCAGAGTATAATGCAGGCGGCCGAATATTTGCCAAGGGGCATGCGCTGGAGGAGCCGGCCGGTAGGATACTCCCAGGCCAGGTAGCCTACATCCATTATTAGCTCCTGCTTCTTGATATGTCGACGTCGTTGTACCCACCGAAGTAGAACATGCTTCCCAGCCACTGGTAGTTATCTCCCTTGAGGCCGATGTCTTTCTGAATGCCCATAATGCTCGCATAAGAGAGTGTCGTTTCTGTCCAGAAAAAACGCGTCCGTATTAGCATTCAGTCTGGTCTTCGCTGTTTATACGAGGCAACCTACTGTCCAGATAATTCATCCCGTAGACAACGCACATCAACGGCATCATATGCCAGTCGATGATCCGCAACAATCTCTTGTTGGTGGATTCGTCGATGGTGATCACCTGGCCTTCCAGGCCGGCAAAGGCCTTCATCGCCTCGTCCGCATCGTGCGAATGCTTCAGGATCTTCTCGTCCGGGTGCTTTTGCGATTGCGACACGTTTGCGTCTGCCCTCTCCACATCCACCTCCGTCTCGGCAGGAGGAGGTGGGGGAGCTTTTTCATCGACAACAGACATCGATCAGTCGACCAGAAGTATAAATCCAGGAAGGAGGGGGGAAAGAAAAACGAAGTTCTACAATGAACGAGGCAAGGAAGGCTGTACTGTACAACAAGGGTCGATCGATCGATCAAAGAAACCAGCTCCGCGGAGGTTGCATTGTGGAGGTAGTGCAAGCAAGCCGATCTCCCTTATACCAACACCATGGCCGCTCAGACGGGGTTATCAAGCTCAACGCCGGTAGGACCCTGGACCCGTGGACATCTGCCTGCCTACCTAGCCTGGCAGATAACACACGACCAGTCGAGCCAATGAGACGGTCATGGCGTGCCCCACTCATACTCGTCTTATCTGGGGTATGTTATGTAGCGGCACTGCCCAGGGAACCGACTATGCCAATTGCGTCGTCAGTAGCCATTGGCATGTGTGCATTGGCTCTGTCTCTTGGGGAAGCTCATCGCGAAGGTATAGTGGCGATCCGTTCTCAGTGAGGGAAGAGGGGATTCTCCGAGCCGATTACCAAATGAGGCAGGTCGATTGTCGGACAACGGCCGGGCCTTGGGCGGAGATCGCTCCCGGTGCCGGCCTCAGGCCCACAACCTCCACTGCTATCAGTACCCCAGATAAGATAGCGTATACGGTCGTTACGGTTGTTAATCAGTTTATCAAAACTGAATTGCGAGCAGAAAGCAGTAAGCACACCTGCAATTATGCCAATAATCACAGCAGAGACCGTCATTCCAATAACGCCAATGCAGATATATGGAAATCTCCGCACCTTTGGTTTCGCAACGTGCTAGGTACCTACCAATCACCCATAGACCGTAGACTGAGGACATATATCATTTGTCTGTCTTCCTGATAGCACCTGGCCCTGTCTCTGTCCCTTTCAGGACCTCCAGCTCAGAGTCCCGGGCTCGAGACCCGCAGTCGTCGGTAAAATCCCTGCTTTGTCTGTCCAAAGGATAGAGAAAGGAGACATGGAGGTTTTCGTAGTACCCCTTAGGAAGCTGGGAGATGTGAGCTGAGCCTTTTGTATACACATGCTATATAACCTTTCCACATCCCTCCGTTTCGCTTTTTTTTTTAATTCTACCAATTGAGTGACATGTTGCTTCAAGAAACTGGACGACCATGATGATGCTTTCGTACCAATGATAGCAGTCATTCTCTACTTTTCTTTTCTTTTCTTTTTTTTTTCCCTTTGTATAAAGTCTACTGCGACGTGCCTATTCTTGCAAGATAGGCTTCCCATCCCTCCTGCTGGTACCGCTTCGCAGCTTCGACCGGGTCAGGCGCAGCGTAGATTCCTCGACCAGCGATAATGAAATCCGCACCCCGTTCAATCGCCGACCGCGGTGTCTGATACTGCTGGCCCAGCTTGTCTCCCTTGGAGGACAGGTTGACGCCCGTCGTAAAGACGACAAAATCCTCGTCCTCCGCAGCAGTGGTCACGTCAGACTGCACCTCTGTCAGCGCCCTCGTCGAGATGAAGCCCATGACGAACCCCCTGTATTTCCTCGCATAGTCAACCGATGCTTTCGTGTATTCTCCCGTAGCCAGGGAGCCCTTGGAGGTCATCTCCGCCAGGATGAGCAGGCCTCGGTCCGGACCGTATGGGAAATCTGGTGCCGACACAGTTTGCGCCAGAGCCTCCACGATGCCCTCGCCCGGCAGAACGCTGCAATTGATGATGTGAGCCCACTCCGATATCCTCAGCGCCCCGCCATGGTACTGTTTCTGCACCGTGTTACCGATATCGATGAACTTCCGATCCTCGAATATCAGGAAATTGTGCTTCTCGGCGAGCTTCTTCAGACCGGTGATGGTTTCCTCGCTGAAGTCGGACAGAATGTCGATATGTGTTTTGATGACGGCAATGTAGGGACCAAGACCTGCGCAGCACGGAAAGGAAAAATCAGTATCGATTGCTTCTCTCGAGAAGAAGTTAAGGTCAATTGCGACTGCAACCGCGACGTACGGTCAGCCAGATCCAGAAGTTCCTTTGTCGTGGTAACATCGGCGGAGACCGTCACATTGGTCTTCTTCGCTTCGGCGATCTCAAAGAGCCTCCTTACGAGGGCATTGGGATGTTTCTGCGCGCGGACGCCGTAGGGTTGCCGTGATGCGGAAGACATGGCTCTCTGCTGGCGGAGGGGCAGTCGCGGGGTAATTGGCGGAGGTGCGGACAACTGATAGTAGAGTCAGAAGGCCGGTCGCACCCAGATTGTTCTTCAAATCGAGATCTAGCTGCCAAAATTTGTGGCAATACGAGCGGGCCTATGCAATGGCAAGTCTGGCAGGAAAGTCGAGGTTGATCTTTGCGGCAGCTCCCTTCTGACTAGAACAACAAAATTTCATCTGGGCGGGAAGCCACCACATGATTGGCTCATCCATTATCGCGGAGAAAAGGCTGCAGATTAGAACTACGGAGTACTCAAACATGGATGAACGAAATACAGATTGCGATAGATCAATCTTATGACAGACAATATTTTAGTTATTGCATGTCAGGACGCGGCAAACTTGGTATGTTGACTTCGGGAGGATCACTAGCGAAATTCCAAAAATGTTTCTTGTCAACGACCTCCATATTCAGAGAATAACCAAAGATTCCATTGTTACTGCTACAACTGTGAATATTAGAAATACATCGCCTTACTAAGTTCAATTGGAGGATCAGTAGTTGATCAGCTCCCGGGCGACGCCAAACACCGTCATCGCCCACAGAGCTCCCTGGAAGAGCCAGAAAGTGCCTCCGTAGAATCTGCCTTTACCCTGCGGTTTGCCGGAATAGACGTATCCGTACAGGAAGAGGGCACGGGAGATCAGCCAGCCGGTGCCGACGGCCGCTGCGGCGTTGGGCCACTTCAGACCCGCGACGAGGGTGAAGAGCATCGTCTGAGGCGCATTCTCAAGGAAATTGGCGTGCGCGCGCTGAGCGCAGTTGAATTGCTCCGCCTTGGGCTGTAGATCGTATCGAGTGTTAGCCATGGATTTTGGCACTATGAGAGGTTGTTGTTGTCGTCTTGGGAAACACCCACATTCTCTTTGCACTGTTCTATCGTCGCGTAGGTGTGAGGATAAGGGACCTTGGCCTCCTTGCGCAGAGAAGTCACGATGTTGCCATGGATGAAACTGAGCACGGGGATGGCGCCGAGAGCGACGGCAATGGCGGCGCTGTACATAGCAAGATCAACATCAGCTTAAGCCAGAAGCAGGATTTAAAGATGAGGCGATTTTTCGGGGGTAAGAAAACGAACCCGTAGTTCTGCGGAACTGTGATTGTAATCATTTTGACAGGACTGCGCAATTGTCAGTATGAATCGTAGTTGAGACCACCTTAGATAGATGCTTGTGCAAGTTACCTAATAAATAAATAGTCTTGAAAGTAGGCAGATGCCGAAGTTACGTCACCCCGCCGAAAGGAGCCACCGGCAATGGAGGAAAATTCGGATGAAGATGACAGGTTCCACCTGTGGAGGAACTAAAGGGAAACGGAAAGACGTGCAACAAGCTTCGACTTGAGGCTACTTGTTATTCACTTATTAGTTGCTCGCGGGGGTGATCTTCACGGTCTATTATGGTCTCGCCCGGAACAGGTCGAATTGTTGCTCCGCAGGCCGAGGCCGAGGTATACTCGTTCTCGGAGTGTTTCCCGAAGGTTCGGTTGTGACGTCGTCTCATTGAAGTGATCTGGCTTCCTAGCTTCCCAATTGAGAAGAGATAGAAGATGACGGGAACTGAGCAGGTAAATCGCCAAACAAGTACGATTCAATTGAGTGCGAGACAGTCCATGATACTTCAGACTTGCAATCAGAAAAGCTGCGGTCTTCTCCCAGTAGTAGTGTTCATCAATGGCAGCTATGACAACCAAGCAAGCAATCAGACAGAGTTCAAGAAGCCAAAACAATGGCCAGAAATTTGTAGACTGCGTCTGCATCTTTATATACCTACCTAAAGTAAACCATGTTTAGTGATCATGTGATAAAATATTCCATAGGGCGTAAGTGGCCCTAAATCCTTGCAAAGCACTTAGGTAGTAATCATGTTAACCAATCAGAACTATAGGCTTTACAGGGGCTATTATATTTGTAAGGCTTCACAGGGACCTTATTATAGGTTTTATAAGGGCTTTACTATAGATTCCATGCTTTGCAGGGCTATTACTATAGGCTATATAGTGGGCACCTATCTATCTACCTACCAAACAATTGGCCCATATTGGCTTTTTATTTATTTTTGGCATACTACGTCAATTTTTTCTTTCATGGGAAATGAACATGCTGGTAGCAGGAAATTTCGGAACGATTGTACTCCGTAACTAGGTAGATGAGTGTGAGAAACCTGGGATGGGCTTTCCAGGCTTACCAACCGAGCCAAAAAGATCACTGCGACTAGGCTCTGCAGCCTAGTCAGCCCAGCACCTGTCTATATAGCTGCCTACGTGCCAGGCTCCCCGACAATAAGTCGAGGAGTGGATGCCATGGTGTACCTTTCTAGCGCGTTGGGTATGTACTGGACGAACAGAGTGGAATGCAATTCTCGGCCTCGGCACTTTGTGATTCGAGATCTACCTTGAGATGCGAGATAGAAATTCCCCATGACTGTTCAGGGAGATTCAATGAAGGACTGTGTTCTAGTGCCCTAGGAGGTACCTATGTTTTTGTCCTGGGAGGAAGAGGAGAGGATGAACCATCGATTGATTACCATCACAAGTCTTCTTTCTGATGGGGAAATCCCTCAGAACTGGCATTAATTGACGCCGTTTTTCTCTTCCCCACCTTAATGCCCACTGAGCTTACGCAGTTGAGACTCCAACGTGGACAATATGTCAAACGATACTACTCGACGTCGATCCCGCCGTCTGGCGGATCAGCCACCATCGCGCACACCAGAGCTCGCTCCTCCACGACGACGACGCAGAATCGAACCATCAGCCCCGCCAGCGTCATTCTCGCATCGAGACACGTCGAGCACTGATGTCGGGAGTGAGTTTATCCCTCCAACAGAGGAAGAATCGGCGTCTCTTCCCCAAGTTCCTCCTCCACCTGGGCCAAGGCTTCGAGCACGCGCAGCTCTCCGAGATGTACACATTTTCGACAATCAGACGCCCCCAGTTGAGATCGGAGGACTTCACATTACAAGGGGCATTTCAAACCAGCTTCTCTATGACATGACACGGATCCTCATTGGGGAGGATATTCCTGTGGACTCTTGGCGTTTACAAGACCAAGCGCACCAGAGAGTACCGCAAGATAATAACCCGGTACTACCCGGAAATTATTACATTATCTCAAGTGGTGAGCAGATTTTCGAAATTCCTGAGCAGGGGGCGGGTGATACTCATAGGATCTACCTAGTACCTATCAGGGTCATAGAAGAAGATGCCCTCACGCGAACCGTGAGCAAATTGCCAATGTCGACAAGACACCAAGCCTTTAACGATGCTGTCCGGCAACGCGACCAGGGGTGTGTTATCACGAAAGTCCTTAATGATCCAGAAGACACCCAAGAAGGCATATGGGACAGCTTTCAAGCGGCACATGTTTCCCCCTGGCGTACTCGGGAATCTGGAACTTGCTGGGATTTAATCGCCACATCACCATCCCCGGTCTGGCTGGAGACAATATCAACTCAGTTCAAAATGGCATTCTCCTGCGTGATCACATGCACACCCTTTTCGACACTTACGCATTCTCGATTTCAGTGAAGGTACGTGTGCAATATCTGACTGTCCTCCTTGCACAGACGCATAGTGACCAATCATTTTTAAAATATATTATAGTACGGCTACAAAGTGATCTGTTTCCGTCGCGATAAAGATAACATCGCAGGGACTTACCTGAGTCCCTCCTTCATCACGGACCCCAGACGATCCCCGGACGAACTTCTCAACTGGCACTTTCGCCAGGCTGTGTTGACAAACATGAAAGGGATTGGAGAACCATTCTTTGAGAATGATTTTCCGCCTGGATCGGATATGGTGGGACAAATCTTGAGGGGACCCAAGCCTAGAGAGCGGATGGAATTTGAGCTGTTTATGCGGCTCTCACACTTGATGGATAACAACAGAAACGGCCAGGGAAACGTCGAGAGAGACGGACGGGATTTCGAGGCGAAACGATAAACCTTCTAGTTGCCGTTCTTCTCTTGTATGTAGGTACATAGCGGAGACTCAAAAATTCCAAAGAGGTTGAAGTACATCCTACCTGATAAAAATCCGTATCTGTTATATGTACAGTACACCCCAGTCGGATCTCCAATGCCAATGAATAAAGCAGTGCGATGGCGCGTTACATCGCTTGCTCAAGGTTCGAAACTTAACGGATAACCCCCGGCTCATGTAGGCTGCATGCCCAGGTATATGTGGAGTACGGAGTTTCTCTGCAGCTGCTATGATCTGACGATTCTGATCAGCGCCAATGAGCTTGCCCACTGCTGCGCAATTCATCACGTGGGGCACGTGCAGATAAGCAACGATATCCCATGTTGAAGAGATCGTTAATTTCTACCTTTTAGATTGTTTAATCAGGAAGCTCTCATGTCGCTTATAAGCGTATCATGACTCGTGTCAAGATAATTGTTGCTCTCAACAGATGCAATCATCAGACATGCTCCACTATACTTATATAAATCAATTCAAGATGCTTTATCACGCGAAAAAAAAAATATCAGTGTTGCCCCTAACTTCAGACAAATCAAAACAAATTTATAGACTTTTATATGTTTTGAGACCGATCACACCGGCGTCTTGCTAACGCTGCCGTATTTTGCCTGCCATGCGAAGAAATACAGCAAGGCGCCGAGTGGCTGGCCTACAAGACAGAAGCTCACCCAGAATACGGAATTACCTATGATCCTTCCGGTGGGGTCGTCCATCTTCTCCAGTGGCAGTGTGACAGTGATAAGGGGAAGCTGAAGCATCATTCCAGCGAAGGCAACCCCTGTAGATGATTGGGAATCAGTAAACAGAACGAGGAAAACCTGAAGGCCAATACCTACCAATGAGGTTGTGGGTCGGGACTCCCACGAGCAGCTCGTGGAGAACGGCGGAGAAAATAAAGACCATGACACTGGCTGCAAAGGGATTCCAGCCCCTCCCGACCAGCGGCGAGAAGATATGTCTCTTCATGAAGAGATAGACAGGCTTGTTCCATGAGCGCCAGTACATGCCGACACTCCAACTATTCCACCAATCTGAATAGAACTCGCGATCTCCAAAACGCATCACTTCCGCCAGCGCATTGAGCAGGGACTGGAAGAGAGCAAAGAATCCCGCAAGCCAGATAATCAGTGAGATCGTCGAGAGCTTCATAATGCGTTCCACGATCGAGGTGAAGTCCAGGACTGCAATCTTGTCCAAGGAGTTTCGGAGAACCGGAGCAGCATATTGTGCGGAGGTGAGCCAGATGAAGACCGACAAAACGACGAATTCTAGAAGCCGCTTCCCGACAAATGACCAGCGGATGCACGGCGTTCGAGGATAAACAGGTTGATAGACCAAGGTAGGAGCCAACCAAAAATAGGTCAAATTTGCAATGGTGATGTTCTGCGGGTAGGGACAGGAAGAATATATTTCAGGGACAGTGGATTGGGTCGATGGATTGAGCATCGCATGGCGAAGATCGCGGTTTGTGAAAGCATAAGAGCAGTTCTTGAGCCAAACAATGATCGCGTGGAGTTCGCAGATGGTCCCAATGCCAGGATGATGGATATAGTAATATACAACAAAGTTGGTGACGACCAGACACAGGGTTGCATTCACCGTGTGGGCAAACGCAATGAAAAGCCAGGTCAATTGAAACGCTCGTTGCTCTTTCTCGTCTCCTTCAGCAGAGGCATCTTTCTTCCGCCGTCCCACAGCACCCTTGGCCTGCTGCGCAGCAGCCAGTTCGATTATGTATGCAACAAACAGATGACATGGTACAAGCGCAAAGAGGATTGAGCCGAGGAGGAGGTCTTGTTTTCGGTAGTCGTGACATTTAAGGCAGATAAGGACACCATACTACATCATTAGCAGATCAATGTCAACCGTCGAGGGCCAATATTACCCACCTTCATAAAATTCTCGATGACTAATCGTAGATTCATCACCACTGTGGATGTAGAGTCAGCATCTCTCCTGGTCGCTCCATCATGGAAAAACAGTATTCCTACCTAGAACAATAACCATCAGGTTCCGGAACCCGATGAAACTGGGGTTGGCGGTGGAATCTCTGCTGAGACATGAGTGCCGTATTTCCGAGTGATAAGCCGCAATATGTCGATATTTGCTCCTCTCCTTTGTTTTCTGTGCAGGCGCAGTTGTGTTGGGTGGAGAGGAAGCTTCTTTGTCCCCTGTTCTGTTGGACGACGTCCTATCCGGCGTTGGCATATCGAGGCTCGTGCTAACCGCGGCTTTTGTCATGCTGGCCATTTTAAACGGTTAAATATTGGAGACTGTCCTGGAGAAGTAAAGGGAGAAAGAGTGTATCGGAGACGATCCAGGACAGAATGCAATCGGTTGTGCAAGGTAACCTAACCCAGTCGCGAAACAGTGTCGTGCGATTGCAGGAGCGGTGACGCTGAGAATGGTACATGTATGCGAGACAAATGAATCATGCTGCTCCACCGCTCACCTCATCATGACCGCGAGAGGTAACCTCCGTATGAGAGATAAGGATGCATCAAGGACCGCAAGCAACATGGCGGGGCAACGAGGGGAGGGGCCTCCACGACGGCAGAGAAGATCAGTTATCGGAGGTGGTCGAGAGGAGCTCCGCGATTAGGTCGATGGCGTCGGAGCTGCCAGGTTCTGGCCGTGCTTGCAGCTGTTGGGCCAATCCCCGCGCGCGGCATCGCCGGCGTCACAACCAAAAGCTGCCCGTAATTCCACAGCTCGCAACGCCGCCACTGCTTGATGCATGCTGGCCAGGACTTGCGCCCATCAGTCCTGCTTGTGACTGCTAGCATAAGCAAGGCTTTTTCTTATTTTGTGCAATCTCATTTTTCTGGGGTGTATGGGTGATATCCTGCCAGTGTGCGACCATGGCTCACTATGAAGAGTCCGCCAGCGACACCCAATATGTCCCAAGGCCTCTTCCCCGAAGACCAAGTATGTGCTTTCGATTTCCTGCTACCAGAATGCTTGACTGATGTGAAATTATTAGGACCTGTCACCGACTATGGGTCATCCATGGTACAATGGATGCATTCGCGGCGACCGCGATACAAAGGAGCTCATAGAATGGAGGTGGAAAGGCCAAGCTTGAGCTACGTCGTCGATGTGAGATCCTCGTATTGTCGTTAAAAAAATTACATGAAACGACATTTGCTCATTTGCCTGTCAGATGCTCCCCCCTTTAGCCAGAATCCACTCGCCGGTTGATACGATTCCTGTGCGGCATCTGCACCAGTCGATAGGAAAATCGAAGAAGCCCATTACGGTTGTGAGATGGACACCAGAGGGCAGACGGTTGCTGACGGGTGGTCATACTGGTGAATTTATGCTCTGGAATGGAACTGCTTTCAATTTTGAAACTGTTATGGATGTGCGTCTTCACCGAGGGCACCGGTTTGCTACCGCTGCTAATCTCGTTCTTACCAGGCACATTATGACCAATTCCAAGCAGGCGTTACATCAGCAGCATGGTCACACAGTCATGACTGGCTGATATCGGGCGGACAAAAGGGCGATGTCAAATATTGGCGTCCCAACTTCAATAATGTCGAGACGGTTGATGACGCACATCACGATGCCGTCCGAGATTTGGCATGGGGTCCTAGCGATACCAAGTTTCTATCTGCATCCGACGATACTACGTTGAAGATATTCGATTTCACAGCTCGAGCTTGCGACACGGTTCTGACTGGCCATAACTGGGACGTGAAGTCGTGCGACTGGCACCCTACGAAGGGACTCCTGGTTTCCGGCTCTAAAGACCATCAAGTCAAGTTCTGGGATCCTCGCACCGGAAGATGTTTGACTACGCTACACAGTCATAAGAACACCGTTACGACAACCAGGTTCTCTCGGGTAAACAATAACCTGTTGGCCACGTCTTCTCGAGATTCAACCGCAAGAGTATTTGACCTCCGGATGATGCGCGATATCTGCATCCTTCGAGGTCATGAAAAGCCGATCTCGACCCTGACGTGGCACCCCATTCACAGCTCATTGATATCAACAGGCAGCGAGGACGGCTCTTTGTATCATTATCTGCTGGACGAGCCCAACTTGCCGCCAGGGCATGTCCCTACCGTCGCGCCGTACGATAGTAACGATCCCTTGAACACACCCCCTCAAGTTATCTATCCCGCCCATCGCATCCAATATGCTCACAGCGCGACAATATGGTCGCTTGATTGGCACCCTCTGGGACACATCTTGGCGTCCGGTTCCAAAGATAATTTTACTCGTTTCTGGTCTAGAGCTAGACCAGGAGAGACTAGTTACATGAAGGATCGGTTTCATATTGGCGAGGAAGCAGCGGAGGCTCAAGGAACGTGGAGCCGGGGATTTGGGAAAAAACAAATGCGCGAGGAGGAGGAACAAGAGCTCCAGGACGAAGCCGAGGGGCTGGTCGACCAGAAGTCTGCAGCAACGACTCTTCCCGGAATACAAGGGCCTCCGCTTCCAGGCACCACTTCCGCGGAGGGTGCTGGTTCACAAAGCTCATTGCCCGGGATTGGCAATGTCCAGCCCCCGCCACAGACTGGAACACCGACCCCCATTCCGAACGTCGATCCCAGTCAGCTGGCTACAATGCTAGGTGGTTCAGTGCCGCCTCAACAGAACGGGTTTCCGGCACAAAGTTCCAGTCTGCCTGGATTTTCCATGCCAGCTGGGTTTCCGGGAACTCCACCACCGAACCTCAACCTCGCAGAGCTGCAGAAGCAGCTGCTTGCGCAAGGTATCCAAATACCACCAAACTTTGGCGCCAAAAATACCTCGAATGGAAGCTAGTGCTGCCGCTGGCGGTGAAGCTAACGAGGGCACCTTCACAGGTCGAGCATCAGGATGTTGCTCGACCAGTATGACTAGTGACGGAGGGATAATTTGACACAACGGCCAAGCTATTTTAGGCCGGTATCTGAGTGCCGAGAGTGCATCGGCATGTACCACCTGGCGGGATTGTATCATTGTGTCTGGATGAGGCGTTAATGGCTTATCGATTTGGGTGCTCGAGGCGAAAATAGATCCTGGGGCGAGTCCTTGAAATTGGAGCGCACATTGGAATTAAAATCATATTTTTTTTGTTGTCTTTTTCAAATGATGGCATTAGGATCAGTCGAAGGAGGATCGCAGAAAATAATATTCAACTCACCGTTATCAGCAGCAGATAGTTGTCTAGGGAAACCTGATGAGGTCCCTGCTGGGAATTGATCGCTCCAAAGCAGTTATCTTAGAGCGCGCCTTGCATTGGGAAGCTCGAAATAATCAGAACGAGGACGCTGATGACAGCCCAGACTAAGGGAATCCACGTCGACATCGTGAAGTTCCCTGCCTCGTACACGGCCCCGAGACTATCGTAGATCAGTATTTTTTTTTTAAAAAAAAAAACCGATGAAGTAGGGGCAGAAGCAGCTCACATTAGGCCAACAACGCTACCCGCAAGCAGAGCCTCCAGACCACCGACAACGCCATAGACCAGTGGTACTGCCCACATCATACGCCAGTTGCGCCATTGTACGGCGACGGCCCAGAAGGCCACTGCGAGGTGTGCACCTCCGTAGAGAATGAGGGTCCAGTATAGCGTGAAGCGCCACACATCCTCTGTGTAGTAGAGGTAGTTGTTTTCGCCAGGGACGCCAAAGACAGGAACATAGAGCGATGGGAATGACGGAGCACTGTAATCAAGTGGGATGCGGCTGCCCATGGCGCCTGCTCAGTCGAGGGGACAGCCCGGGTTCATGGGATGCACGGAATGTGTAATCCGGTGCAGGACACTCCGTGCATATCGTTCATTCGTATTGGTATCGTGGATCTGTCCCTGGATGCGTCTGGAGATTTGATGTTGACCGTTAGAGCTCCGAAGTGGAGCTCCGGAGCTGTGCCACGGGGCGCTAGCTGCAGCGCATGGGGCAGTTTGCACTCTTTGCTCAGCTGCCAGCTGTGCTGCTGTGCCCAGGCGGGTATGCATGCAGCTTAACCTCGGCAGCAGTGGCAGACGATATCCATGGGTATGCAGCCGAAGAGACGCTGTTCAATGCTGCATCCCAATCATCCTGCCTTCGCTGGCTTCCATCATGGCGACTGAACGTTCCCTGGCGGCCCTGCTGCGGTCACTCCAGATCGCTGCGGAGCCCGAAGATGCCTACGCGTGAGCTTGATCCCGGATATGCGATCCGCGGCTGTTGAACGAGAACTGATCTGATGTGGCGCAGATTACTCCCGGCCTCGACCAGCTTCTTATCGATCCTCACGAACCCGTTAAATGTAACGCTGCTGTCCTCTCAATTGCTCACGTCTCCTGCGATCTGGAATCACCCCGTCGACTTACAAACGTGCCGCCGGATTCTAAGTGTCTACAATACGGCCGCCATCGGTATCTTGCAGAACGAGGCAGCAGAAGAGCCAAGGACCCCTTATGCACCACGACGAGGCCTCGAGCGGGAAGCATGGGTGAAGGCTGTGGTCAACGGAGCGGACGAGAAATCTCCGCGATGGAGGCATCTGCTGTTGCTCGGCGGCGTCTTGCTCGGATTCGAGGGACAGAACAGGCAGGGACTGCCGTCGCGAATCCGCAGCAAGGTCGAGTCTGCCCTGGTTAAAGCGACGCAGTTGGCGCTCCAGGAGAGCGAGCCGCTAGATGGGATAGCAGGACACTGCATCACCATGGTTCTGAATTATACTTTCGAGCTGCTGTCGGATTGGCAACGGAGCCAGCTGGATTATGACCGCCTGCTGCCGATAATGGTGCAGGCAACATACTTCTCCGGCGAAGGACTAGACCATGCATATTTTCTAGGCGCCATCGACCGTGATGTTGTTGAGGCTCCTGGCAAGAAGTTTAAATGGTCGTCAAAGTCAACGACGTACAATCATGTCAAAGCGATATCTTCCAGACCCCTGGTTGCCTCCCTGGGGCCATTATCGCGGCTGATCGCTCATGCGCTGGAGAATGTCCGTGATCCTAATCTCGTGTCAGACGCGGTCAACTCCATTTCGGACTTTGTCCGCACCTTGTTGGTTCAATGGCGCCAGAATAAATTGTCTGAGGTCGACCCATCCGAAGAGACGGAATTCCTGGAGGAGGAGTCGTTAAAGACAACTATTCCAGATCTTTGGCGATTGCTTCGGGCCTGCATGTTCTCAGTAGTCATTATTTTTCGAGCGGTTCTGGGAAGAGTGCTGAACGATCCTGCACTTGCTGCTGGCAGCGGTAAGTTGACCACTTTTTAACCGTGCTTCATATTTGCGTTTCTAATGCTCTTCCCAGTCGCCCCGTTCATTGCAATGCAATCTCTACATATTCTTCGGAATCTCTATTTTATCACGTCACGCGTCGGCCAAAATGCCTCCTCTCAGTATACGTTTGTCAATCTCGTGGCCATAGATATCCTCACGCAGTATCCGGATCTCGCGGAGAACTTTTTGCGGACAATCAAGCCCGCAGAGTTGGGTCAAATTCCAGAACATCCTCTCGAAAGATGTCTCGACTTGTTCTTCCTCAATACCGCAGAGCATTTCACATTGACTTTACCGCCACAATCTAACGAGGAGCTTATCATTTCGGCTGCGTTGCCCTATCTCGCTGCTGGTGGTAACAATGCCCTGCTGGAGATCTTTGAGGCTGCTCATAGTGTTGTCCTTGCAGTGTTTGCAGCGCCGCAAAATGCGGATGTGGCTGCCAAACATCTTCCGTTCTACGTGGACAATCTCTTTGCGGTATGCATGCTCTAGTGTTAGCCTTGTTTTCTCGACTTTGTGTGCTCATTGAGTTTTCGCAGGTTTTCCCGCAGAATCTCTCCGCTCGCCAGTTCCGCCTCGCTTTCAAGTCTGTGGTCCAGATAACCACGCCTCCCTCGCCCCTTGCCAGTAGCCAACCCCTCCTAGCGTCTACTCTCCTTGAGCTTGTGCATGATCGAGCGTATCATGCGTCGTCAACCGTGCTGCCACCAACCCCTCAAGCATCAGCAGGGAAAGAGGATGCTGCCAATTCAACGCCGCTTTCCGAGCAAGCAGCCCTGACTCTCGCCCTCATCGACTCTCTCTCCTTGCTCCGCGTCGACGATCTGGAAGAGTGGCTTCCCCTGACAGCGAAGCTCATCAACTCGATCCAGGACTCCGGCATGAGGAACACCTGCGTCGAGCGCTTCTGGGACGCGCTGAGCAGCGGCGAGATGGACGTTCAGCGCGCCAACTTTTGCGTGACGTGGTGGAGCACGCGCGGCGGGCGGGAGCTCGTCCTCTTCGGCGAGCAGCAGCAGCAGCAGCAGCAGTCGTCCCACGAAGAGGCGGTCATGAGCGGAGGACTAGGTCCGGTGGCTCCCGAGAGCAAACTATGAGTATGAGTATGAATGAAGGAATTGTTGGTTTATCATAACTGCTATGTTTTCCCTCACCTCTTTTCTATCGTACGACGACGACGGTTTCTTGGCGTTACGTTAAAATGGTCGATACGACTTGGTTTCGATATCCAGTTGGTAACTTGGTTAGGGTTATTATTGCTTGAGAGACAACTTTTCTTGCATGTGTATATAGGAGGTAAATAACTAACTAAAGGAAGAATTGGAGCGCTGTATATAAAATATAAAATACCGATGTGTTCAAGTCAATGAATGGATGCTTGCACAGAGTAAAGTCACCTTTTTCATTCATTTTTTTTCTGGCCCTCCTAATACTAGGAAGTGCTCGTATTTTTTTCATTTTTATTAATTATTACTATTAGCAGGACGATTAGTATTATCAGTTTGGATGTATCAAATCTCCACCCATCATCCCAAGTAATTAATCTATGCTTTCATCGTCTTTATTCCCCAGTTTCCAAATATCCATCCATTCTTAGTAAAGACAAGAAATCGTTTTTATTTCTTCCTTTTTCATCCCTGATTGTTTTTGATCATGGAATCCCTGGAATTCCAACACGGGTTCGCTTCCTGTATTCGACGTAGTCGTTGCCAAAGAAGTGGATGAGGAATCGCTCTTCGCCTGTTGATTGTGGAATTTGTTAGTAATGGTAAATAAAAAAAGGAGGTTGAAAAGGGGGTAACTTACGCTGTATTCTAGAGGCAAAAAACTGCCACAGGACAATCGCGTAGGCGCAGAAACAGGTCACGTTGTGCAGGACGAGCTGCGTGCCCAGCCCCCACCAGAAGAAGCCAAAGTAGCTGGGATGGCGCAGCACACTGTAGATGCCTCCGGTCACGAGAGTGTGGCCCTGCTTGCGCTCGACCTGCACCGTGTGGTTGAAGTTACTGCCTGCCTGCGCCATGGCGAGCGTGCGGATGCTCTGGCCGACGACCATCAGCACCAGCCCGACGACGAGCGGCAGCTTCGTGGCCGTTACGGCGGCCGTCCACTTCGAGTATCCCTCTGGGAAGAGGAGGTGCGACAGGAGACATTCGGCGATGGCGGAGCCATGAGCCACGTTGTACGCCCACCCGTTCGAGCTGAGCAGGAAGGCCGACACGGACGCATGTCGCGTGTTGTACCGCGCCGTGATGAAGTATTCGAGGAAATGGAACAGGCAGAGAGAAGCGAGGAAGAAGGGCACGCGCCAGAGCGGGATCGAGAGGACGAGTAGGACGATCGTGACGGTCGCGCAGATCCCCAGAATGACGCCAAGCAGGAACGCCCGGATCGCGATCCCGGACAGCGATTTCTTCCCTCCGGGGTAGTTGGAGGGGTCGAGACCGGCGGATTCCTTCATCGTTGTTGTTGTATTCGTCGTCGTACCGTTGATGGTGGATGTAGTGGCAGATGGAACTGGTGGTCGCCAGCCTGCGTCCGAGGACTGTTGTTGTTGTTGCTGCTGCTCGCGTACCCGTCGAACAACAAACTCTGATGCGTGAGATCTGTCAACAGCTGGATCTGCAGCTGTGGACATGCTGTCACAGTAGGGAATTGGCGACGGCTTGATCGTGGGGGTCAAGAAATAGCACGAGCTCTGTCAGAGAGCACGCACAAGCAGGAGGGAAGGGTCACGCCGAGAGAAACCAAATTTTAAAAACGCTCCAGAAGTATCGTGTGAATGAAAGTCCCATTATGTCTGCTGACAGTGTTCTTCCCTCTCAGCATTGCAGGTTGGACAATGCCCCAAGTGGTGAGTTCTGGTGGATGGGTTTCATCCAGAAGATGTCTGTGCTGTGACGTTTTCAGCGTTGGGAGTGTTTATCGTTTATCTATCGATAATCTGGAACAAATAAAGGGGACGGGCCCACTTGTCCCGTATCTAATTCGTTTGACTTTTTAAAGTCGGAGAAGATAACAACCAGCTAGCTCCTTGGATACCAGTCAAGGCTAACTTAAGCGATAAAAATAGCTCTCCAAATTGGCGCCAATCTCCAGGGCTTCTAGAGCGATCCGCCAGTCGTTACGTCCAACTCTATATCGACCTCGTTCTATAGAAGCCTGCAGAGCCTATTCCACTGTATCCTACTGATCGTCAGGTGCCGACTGCCAGTTTCCACCATGACAGAGCCTACAGAGAAGGAGAAGATGCTCCGCGGGGAGCTGTATCATGCCTTTACACCGGAGCTGGTGGCCGCGCGGGCCCGCTGCAAGCACGCCTGTAACCGCTTCAACAACGCCGGCGAGGTGTCCCGTCGGCGGCTTGTCGAGCTTTGGCGAGAGTAAGTGAGCACTCGTGTTGTTGCGAGCATGGTCAGAGTGGTATTCAGTTCTTCCATGGACATAGATGACGGCTCTAGTTGCATTCGAGTAATCAATTGGACTGAGAATTGATGATCGGCCTACAGCATCGTCCAAGACCCCACGCCGCTTCCCCCGCCTCTGGATGACCCCGCGGCAGACGAGGCCCAGTTCAAGCGCGATCCCTGGATTGAGGCGCCCATCCACATCGACTACGGCTTCAACGTGCGGGTGGGCGAGGGCGTCTTCATCAACTTTAACTGTGTCATCGCCGACACGTGCCTCGTCACCATCGGCGCGCGCACCCTCATCGGTCCCAACGTCAGTCTCTACAGCGCCACGCATCCGCTCGATCCTGCCGTGCGCAACGGCACCGAAGGGCCTGAGATGGGCAAGGAGATCCATATTGGAGAGGACTGCTGGATCGGTGGCAATGTCACCATCCTGCCGGGTGTGACGATCGGCAAGGGAGCGACTATCGGGGCGGGGAGTGTGGTGACCAAGGTACGTCAGTGTCCATTGCCACGCAGATTGGCATCTTGCTAATCAAATAATATTTCGAGCTGTAGGACGTCCCGGCATTCCATGTTGCAGCAGGGAATCCGGCTCGCATCATCAGGAAGATCGAAACCACAATGGCGGAACATTCATAGCCCACGAATTGTGATTATGAGTCCACGACGATTAAAATTTGGCCTTGCTGAACAGCTATCTATGGAAGACTTGCTGCTGGTGCCCGGCCTGTCACTTTCAGCAAGACAATGCGGTTCAATGGCAGATTCACTGCACCTTATCCTCCGTCCTCGCTGTAGAACACGTATCGAACCGACAATGAGATTGATTCAGGCAGAGATTGACGGACAGTACAATAATGGGTCCAGGCCAATAATAGGAGGAACTGTAGTAACTCCCGGCTACTATTCACTCTGTATTGAGTTAGAAGACGAATGCTGTAAGGCTGATCATGGCGATTCTTCGAGCCAGCCTCGTACAGTTCACGAAGTCTGCTTAAGTTCCAACTACATAGCACAATAGAAAAGAATAAAAGCGTCAGTGAATGCATTATAGGCATCAGAATACAGCTTCGTGGGAAAGCAATGAGCCCACCCACTGTGCTCTGAATGGACTGTTCGTCCATCTCACATTCACTGCTCAGCCAGGCCAGGTATTGTAGTCGAGCAATTAATTTGCTGCCTTGATGGCTGCCTGCGAAATAGGGGTGGCTTGCTCAATCAGAGGCATTGGGCCATTCGCACGACAATGGCTCTCATTGTTGTCCTGACATGAGAGCAAAAGTGAAAAAAAAAGTGAATGAAAGCGCTCACAGAGCTAGCTAGACTAGGCGTCCACAGCTCCCGCATCTCCACCAATTCGGGCTCGCCTCGGCCTTGACCTGGCCGCAGATAACGACCTCCAAACAGAGCTTCCAGGACGCCGGACCACGCTCTCTGC